TCGAAGCTGATGCTCAGAGACATGCTCAGCAGAGGGTCAATGAAAATGATGACGCAATGAATAAACGACTCAAAGCTGATGCCCAGAGACATGCTCAGGGAAGGCACCAAGCTAGACAATTAAATCATCACATTGCGCTAATTTCAAAAGAACATGAAATAAATGTGCCAGTTCATACACTTGGCCAAATGAATGTAGAATGTCAATTTTGCAAATCGTTAAACTTTGCATGTGAAAAATTTAAAGATGGAAAATTTACATATTGTTGCCAAAAGGGAAAGCTTAAATTAAAACCAATAAATTGTCCTAATTTTCTTAAAAAATTATATATGGGAAATGATTCTGTATCAAAAAATTTTCTTGATAATATTCGTTCATATAATAGCGCTTTAGCTATGGCTTCCATGGGTGCCCCGGGCAATAGAAATCCATTGGATGTTGTGAACAATGCTCCTTATTGCTTGAAGATTCATGGGCAATATCATCATTTGACCACAACGGCAATGCGCCCAGCGGATGGGCAAGCTCCGCGTTTTGCGCAGCTTTATTTTTTAGATACAGAAGAAGCTATTAATCATAGAATGAATAATAAAGCTAATCAAAAGTGTGATCCAGTCTTAATGAAAGATTTGTCCTGCTTTATGATCCAAAGCAATGAATTTGCAAAAACTTTTAAGATGATGCGTCAAGTTGAACAAGATCTTAATCCGAGAGGCAATAAAGCCATAAATTTAATGTTGTCCTTTCGAAATGATCCTCAACACGATCAAAGAAGATACAATGCTCCACGAGCTAATGAAATAGCTGTGGTTTTTCAAAATGTTGATGGTGAGCCTCCATTTGAGAGAGATATTCGAATTTATAACAAAAATTCGAACGATGTTCAACAAATATAAATTCTAGACAAAAGATGTGATCCAATGTGTTATCCGTTGTTATATCCATATGGTAACGATGGATGGCATTCACAACTTAAATCATATAATCCTAAATATCCAGGATTTAAAGTAACTCAAATGGATTATTATGCTCACCTGTTGGCACCAAGAGTTGAATTTAGTCAATTTAAAAAGGCAGGAAAATTAAGATGTCAGTTTATACTTGATGCTTATATGAAAACTGAAGCAAATAGGCTTAATTATATTAAATTAAATCAACCTCAATTAAGAGCAGAACTTTATTCGGGATTAATGGATCACCTAGATAATCGAGCACAAAATGAAGGAATTAAAGCTGGTATACCTGTAATATTACCATCTTCATTTATGGGCAGTCCAAGAAATATGCAAGAAAGATATCAAGATGCCATGTCTCTGGTTAGAAAGTTTGGTAAACCTGATATTTTTCTTACGATGACTTGCAATCCTCAATGCCCCGAAATTAAAGATAATCTTGATGGATGTTTAATTGAATTTCGACCTGATTTGGTCGCTAAAACATTTAATTTGGATGTCAAAGAAGTTTTAAAAGATTTAACCCAAAATAATATTTTTGGAAATATTGTAGCTTATGCAGGTGTGATTGAATTTCAAAAAAGAGGACTTCCACATTTGCATTTACTTGCAATGTTGAGTGATGAAGATAAGCCCAGACTTCAAGAAGTCATTGACATGATGATATGGGCTGAAATTCCTGACAAAGAAAGATATCCAGAACTTAATGTAAAAGTTTTGAGGCACATGATTCATGTCCTTGTGGAGATCACTCTCAGAGATATCCTTGCACTGGGGATGATGGAAAATGTTCAAAAGGTTTTCCAAAAGAGTTTCGTGAAGAAACTAATGCTAATGTAAATGGATATCCTATGTATCAACGAAGGAATTTTAAGAAAAAATACATCGTCAGAGGAAAAGAAATTGATAATCGATGGGTAGTACCATATTCACCATATTTAATTATGAAATATGATCGACATATCAATTTGGAAATATGTTCATCAGTGAAGAGCGTAAAATACTTATATAAATATATTCATAAAGGATTTGATTGTGCTGCAATTGAAGTACAAGCACAAGATGGCACAAGGTTAATTAAAATAGATGAAGTTAATTCATACCTGGATGCAAGATATGTTAGTGCTCCAGAAGCAATGTGGAGACTGAACGGATATGATCTGTTCATGAAGTCTCACACAGTAATAAGACTGGCAGTTCATTTGCCTAATCGCCAAATGGTTTATTTCCGAGCGGGAAATGAAGAACAAGCTGCTCAAAGAGAGCTAACTCGAGATACCACGTTGACTGCATGGTTTAAATTAAATCAATCTGATGAAAATGCGGTGCATTTTCTTTACACAGATATTCCTTATCATTATATCTATGATAAAAAAGAAACTAAGTGGAAGCCACGCAAAAAGGGTGGTGATAAAATAATTTCAAGACTTTATACAGTAAGTATAAAAGATATTGAGAGATTTTATCTCCGTCTTCTTCTACTTCATGTAGTTGGAGCTAAATGTTTTGAAGATTTGAGAACTGTAAGTGGAGTTCTTTATAAAACGTTTAAGGATGCAGCAATTGCAAAAAATTTGGTAGAAGCTGATGATCTTTGGGAAAAAACGCTGGAAGAAGCAACAGATTCCAAAACGCCCGTACAACTTCGAGAGCTATTTGCCTACATTTGCATCTATGGAACTCCAACAGATGTACTAACTCTTTGGAATAAATATAAAGATCACATGATTGAGGACTTTGTACACAACAATGTTGTCAATCCTGAAAATATGGCTTTAAACCATATACAAGAAATTCTGAAAAATAATGGAAGTAGCTGTGAGAACTTCCAATTGCCAAATCCAATTCCAGTGAATATTTACGTCACAGAATATAATGTAGATGAAGAAAGAAGACGTGGTGACTATTTATTATCAACATTAAATGTTGAACAAAGATACGTGTACGATATAGTTATGCGAGCGATTGACAATGAGAATGAACCTCAGCGGTTATTTTATATTGACGGGTTTGCAGGAAGTGGAAAAACCTATCTATTTAACACATTTCTGAGTGTTATTCGAGGAAAAAACGAAATGGTTATTCCATGTGCTTCAACTGGCATTGCAGCCACACTTCTAAAAGGAGGAAAAACTTATCATTCCCTGTTCAAACTTTCAATACCAATTGATGATGGAGCTAAATCTAATATAAGAGGAAACTCTCAAGCTGCACGAGAACTGATCTCTGCTAAACTCATTATATGGGATGAGGTGAGCATGACGGTTGGGCATGCCTTAACAGCAGTTGATAAACTCTTCAAGGATCTAATGAAGAATCCTAGACCATTTGGAGGAAAAGTTATTTTATTTGCAGGAGATTTCAGACAAAATCTTCCAGTAGTACCTCATGCACATAAAGCAGCCATAATTGAGTCAACTGTCAAATACAATCCTATATGGAGAAATGTAACTCAGGTTAAATTACAGCAAAATATGAGAACTGCGGATGAAAAGGAATTTGCAAATTGGCTAATGCAATTAGGAGATGGTAAATTGTCAAGTACAGATGGATTACATCTTGATACAATTGAAATCCCCCAGGATTTTATATCAAAAGAATCTATTATTACTGAGATTTTTGGTGATAGAATCACCACGGAACAGATTAGAGAAAATCCAGATCGAGCGATTCTTTGTCCTAAAAATGAAGATATTTTCAAAATTAATGACGAAATCCTTCGTTTAATGGAAGGAGAAGAAAAGGAATATCTATCAATTGACTCTATTGTAAGTGATGATCCACAAGAGCAATTGAATTGTCCGACTGAGTTTTTAAATTCTATGACACCTTCTGGAATGCCAGTTCATCGACTTAAAATAAAAGTCAGTGTTACAATTATCTTATTAAGAAATTTAAATACTAAGAAAGGACTTTGCAATGGCACAAGATTTATTGTTACAGATTTGAAACATAATCTTATTTATGCGGAGGTTCTAACTGGTCCTGCTCGAGGCCAGATTGTCTTCATCCCAAAAATCGATTTCATTACAAATGACTCGGAAGTTCCATTCAAGCTTAAACGGAGACAGTTTCCTATTCGAGTATCATTTGCTATGACAATAAATAAATCTCAAGGACAAACTTTACAAAAAGTTGGGATTTATCTGCCACATCCTGTATTTGCTCATGGTCAACTTTATGTGGCATTTTCTAGAGCAACCAAAAAGGAAAATGTCAAAATTAAGATTGATGAAACAAGCAATCAAGGACATCTCATTGAAGAAAATCCAGAATCTTATACAAAAAATATCGTATACAAGGAAGTTTTATAAATTAAACAAATAAAAAATTGTATGAGAATTAATAATATAGTGAGTCAGCGGGGGGATTAGCTTTGAGGCCCGCGCGAAGCGCGGGCCGAAAAGCTAGTTTTCCATAATTCCCTTATTCTCAATTACATAAATAGGTCTCCTACCCGTGCCTTCTATCCCCTTATTACTAATAGATTGCACAATGTTGCTAATACTTTTTACATAATATATATTAAATTTATCAGCTATATTGCATTCTTCTATGTCTTCTAATATTTCAAAATCTACATTATCGATGTTCTCTGAACCCCTTTGCTCACCTTTAATTAATTCTTTTAAAGTTTTCCACATTTTTGTAGGATCACTCCTATTATTATCTATCATATTCTCATAATATTCTTTCTTTTTTGCCCTGATAAGTTTAACTACTGCATTTCTTTCATTTCTGAAAAATTCCCAGTCCTGTTCTTTACCTGAGTGTATTGCTCTACTGTGAGCCTCATCCCTTCTATCTGCTGCCATTCTAATTTCATCTGAATACCACATTTTCCCTTCCCATATTTTCGGAATCTTAAACTTTTTCTTAGGTGCTACA